CTCGTCACACTGATAGGGCTTTTTCGACGGCGCAGGCTTCTCCGGAGACCATGAAAAATCAAAGAACACCCTATCTGGACTCTGCTTATATAGACATAAGCCACGCCCCTTCTGGCAGGACGTGACGCGCGCGGGCGCCCGCGCCCTCATTGGTGCTTACGTCACGTACAGTCCCCCAGCAGTTGCAGCAGAGCAACCAATAGTCGTGCGAGCTGCCTCGCCTAAGTCTGCTCTGTGCAGCAATTCGTTTTAAATTAAAGTAAATTTAAGGGTAATTTTTTGGCTACAGTATTCTTGAGAAAAGGGATTTTCCCGTAGCGTAAGCTAGTTTACGCAAAACGAGAGTACTCTCGTAAGAGAAGAGTGTCATGTAAACGGCCCCTCAGTTTATCTGAAGGGGTTCTTATAGGGTACATTTACACAAAGTAATGCTAAAAACGGAACAAAGTTTTTCCTTTGCATTTTTCGCATACAGACGACAACCATTGTCAAAACGATCCCTGTTCACACGGATCCATGAAAGGCCCTTAGATCTCACTCGTGATGAAAAAATGTTTTAGTTGATTATTGTGTCATGCAAACGGGCCAAGAATTTAACTGGAAGCTCTGCATTCTTGTCATGCTCTTACAGTGACAAACGATACTCGGTTACTAATGTAACCTCAGTTCTCTCTAGAGAGGGAACGAGTATTGCGCAAGTTAGCTTACGCTACGGGAAAGATTCATCTTCTTGAGATATTGAAGCCAAAAAATTATCCTTAATTTTGTATTTATTGGGAGTGCAGCAGCTAGCAGACCTAGAGCAGGCTATCTTGCATGCTCATTGGCTGCCCTGCGGCAACTGCAGCAGCCTACCAGTGAGCCCGGCGTGAAGTAACGCCCAATGAAAGGCGCCCGCGCCTTCATAGCGTCATAGCCCGCCAGAATGGGCGTGGCTTAGCGTATAAAAGTAGGGGCTGTAGGCTGATTTCCCTGGTTTTCGTCGACTGAAGCGAAGTCGCTCGCGGTGCGAGCAAGGCCAGTTACGCAATTCTCGTTCCCTCTCTAGAGAGAACCGAGTATCGTTCTCTTACGAGAGGTTCTCTCGTATTGCGTAAGTTAGCTTACGCTACGGGAACTCCTTGTCAATGCCGTGCGTGCCAAGCATCCAACCATGAGTCCCCGAGCTTTTCGGGGAACCCAATAAGCGGAGAAATAAGGTGGCCAGCCACGCAGGCCATCACTTGTACATAAGCACACATAGGGAATACAGAGCAGCGCGCTGGTCTGTATAAGCATATAGCACGTACCCTACTGGTGCAGCTCAACCAGGAGAGCTAAGTCGCGTGAGAGTGGCCTGAGCACGGAGATCTGGGCAGAACGCACATCTCACTTACACTGACAGAAGTTTAGCCTGCAGGGCGGGGACTTCTAGGTTATAAAACCTGACAAAGGTAGAGGGGGAGCTCCAGCCCGCCGCTACACATATGTCGTGGATTAAAATCCCGCTGGACCACGCCCACGATGAGGCCATGCCTCTTGTGGAATGATCGCAGAGGTTTCTGGATCTGACACCGCCCTGACGGTTTACATAGGACACCACAGACATGTTGTCCGAGCGGACTAGAACATGTTGGTCCTGTATGAACGGGAGGAAGCACTTCAGCGCGGCTAGGTGTCGAACACGGCGCGCGCGCGCTGTGTCGATAAACGAGCCGTCATGGCCACCGAGTCCAGTTCTATTCCTAGAAAGGAAATCGACTGGCTGGGCATTAGTGAGCTCTTGGTCCAATTGACCGAGAGTCCCAAGTTTTCCAGGTGACTGAGAAGCACTGTTCTGTGAGATAGCAGTTCCGTCTCTGACTGTGCTAGTATCAGCCAATCGTCCAGATAGTTCATAATTCGCAGGCCCTGACTTCTCAGGGGGGCGAGCGCCGCGTCCATGCACTTCTTAAATGTACGGGGTGCTAGAGACAGGCCGAACGGCAGGACGGTGTATTGATATACCTGACTGTCGAAGGCGAATCTCAAAAATTGCCTGTGACGGGGTATTATCTGAATCTGAAAATAGGCATCCTTCAGATCTAGAGAAATAAACCAGTCCCTCGGGTGAACTTGCGCAAGGATTTTTCTGGTCGTAAGCATTTGTCGGAAAAACCTTTCTGTAAGCGTGAACGCATGTGCGCGGACACGAGACTCACAAATATATCTGACGCTCCTATCGTTTTGGATGGGGTGCGTCTTATGAACAGCACAGCGTTTAATTAGCCCTGACGTCGCTGCGAAGGCTGGGGCTGTGCTGGACGCTGAGTGCTGGCTCGCACAGGAGGCTGGCTTCGTTCGCGAGAGCGGCCTGTAGCGGAGCTCGAGCGTCGCGGCAGGAAGAGGTTCATGGCCTGTGTGGTCTTCTGTACCTCAGAAAAACAGTGGACGATCCCGTTCACCGCTGGGCCGAAGAGACCAGTGGGGGAGAGCGTCGCGTTCAGGAAGGCGGAGCGCTCAGTTTCCTTCATATCAACGAGCGTTAACCAGAGGTGCCTCTCTGTGACGCTCAACGCGGCCATGGCTCGTCCGATGGCTTGAGCTGCGGTTTTGGTGGCGAGAGAGAGAGAGAGGTTTGCGCACTTCGCAGATCTGTAACCGCAGCTGGATCCCGGCCCTTCTTGTCCCATTCACGGAGGAGGTCGGCTTGCAGGATCTGTAACACAGCCATGGAGTGGAGAGCGGACGCGGCCTGGCCGGAGGCGGCATAAGTGCGGCCGACAAGGGCAGACGTGGCTCTGCAGGCTTTAGACGGGAGGGCTGACCTTGACCGCCATCTAGCAGAGTGTGGACAGAGGTGCGCTGCAACCGCCTCTTCCACAGGAGGGATAGCCGTGTACCCTTTCTCGGCGGCGCCGTCCACTTGGGAGAGCGACGTGGAGGCATGGGACTGAAGTCTTGAGGAGAAAGGTGCATTCCAGGACTTCGTTAGCTCCGTGTGGAGTTCCGGTAGGAACGGAGCGGGCCTGCTGGCTGAAGCTGGATGGCGGCGACTTTGCAGAAAACAGCCGTCGAGTCTGTTTGGCGCAGATTCCTGCGGCGGCGACCACTCGAGCCCGAGTCGGTCAACGGCCTGCGTCAGAAGGCGAATCAGTTCCGTATCAGCTCCAGCGCGGGTACGGCCGGATTCCTGGATCGACGAGGAGGCGGAGTGCAGTGACCATTCCTCGCTATCCGATGCCAGGATGCAGTCTTTCGTGGCGTGTGCCTCGGCCTCGTCCTCAGACGCGACAGCAGTGAGGCTCGTGAGCGACAGCTGCGCGTCGGTGAAGGGAGGCGGTGGAGGCGAAGGCGAGGCTCGAGGGAGGTTCTCCGGCGAGCGTGTTGCTGTGGCCACAGGTTCCGGCTGTCTTTGGGAACGGCGCTTCTTCTTGCGCGGTCCCACAAAGAGCGGAGTGACTGCTTCCGGGTTGAAGGCTTCGAGTCGAGCTCGCAGGGTCGATAGCGGAGGCGCTTCACAGAGCTCGCAGCCCCCGGACGCGAGGGCGAGCTCTGCATGTTCCTGGCCCAGGCAGTGAGCGCAAATGACGTGGCGGTCTCCGACGCTGAGCGGGGCCCTGCACGAGCCGCAGGAGGTGCGAGGCATTTCATCTTTGCGGGCTGTGACACTATGAAGGCGTGGGCACCTTTCATTGGGCGTGAAGTCACGCCGGGCTCACTCGTAGGCTGCTGCAGTTGCCGCAGGGCAGCCAATGAGCATGCAAGATAGCCTGCTCTAGGTCTGCTAGCTGCTGCATTGCGTTGACAATAAATACAAAATTAAAGGGATACTCCACCGGTTTTTCATATTAAACTATGTTATTCCCTTAACTAAGACGAGTTGATACATACCTCTCTCGTCTCAGTGCGTGCACTATATCGCTCTGTATTGCCGCAAAACTATGTTAGCACTTAGCTTAGCCCAGTGCATTAAATATGGGCCAAAAAGAGAAGCGACCAAACACTTCCTCGTTTTCCCTATTTAAACACAGTTACTCGAGTAGTGTAACTCGACCTAGGCTGGTGACACAAAATAAAACGTTGCGCTTTTCTAAGCGTTTAAAATTGATGACTGTATTGTATGGCGGCATACCATAACAAGCGCTTTTGAGCACTTCGACTTGGCGCAATAATATCTTCACTCGTGAAAAGTCCTCTTACCGGCTTCCGCTTCCTCTCCCCCTCCCTCTCATTTCCGTCAATACAACCAACGTGACTTTTACTACCTGTGCTATTAGCAAACTGCAGATCATTTGCAATGGCAGACTTAAGAGCTAATTCCATAAGAGCTAATTCCTCCTCCGTGTACTCGGGTTCAAACAGATATGGCTCTGGGTCTGCTACAAAGAAGTCATAATCATCTACAAAGTCCGCCATTGCAAATGATCTGCAGTTTGCTAATAGCACAGGTAAAAAAAGTCACGTTGGTTGTATTGACGGATAAAACTGGAAGCTCCTGTTGTGCGTGTTCAGTAATAATTAACTGAAGTCATGACGACAGTGTGTTTGATAAAGAATTCAGGAAACTGTTTCACTTGAGGAGCAGGAAAGGAAGCTTATCACACTCACGTAAGTTTGATTAAATTTATTTAATTCATTGCTGTTCAAGTCAACTATAGCAAAAAAACCAACAAAAAAAAACAAAGTAACATAATTATTAAAACCAAGATTATTATTTTCATACTTTATAGAACATAATTACACCAACATAAATAGAAATAATTGAACAAGCCAGGGGAATCTCAGCTTTAGAAAGCAAACTTTTACCCTTGAGATACACGATTATACAGTACGAAAAATATACAGAGCCAAAAAATATGTACTCTTATTCTTAGAAATGACAATTGAAAAGTTACTTTATTCTTCACTGGGAGGATTTCTGTCAGACATAAGACAAGTTAGTCTTATAAAAAAACTAAAAAAAAAAAAAAAACTGTAAAAGTGTGTCTGAATTGCAAAATTCTTCTTTTGCAAGAAAAAGAAATTAAGAATTAAAAGCTTTACAAAAAAAAAAGAAAAAAAAAAGTAAAGTCTCTCATCTGAAATCAAATCTGAATCAATAACATCCAACATTATTTTAATATTATTAATGGACGTCTCATAGCATCTTACATTCTTACAAGACACTAAAAACTAAGGCTTACATTAAGTAATTATTGAGACTTTAGGTCTGTGAGCAACATAATAAGGCAACTTAAGTGCAGGGGAGGGTCAAACTGTCATAATTTCTTCTATAAAAACTTGCAAAAGGAAAAGATTTTAACACAGTAAAATAATATATAAACTGTCCACTGGGAATCTGGAAATTAACAGTCTTATATATACATGTATATACATTTGTGTGCTTGTGTATTATGCACATCAACTAAATCTGATATTACACAGGTGTTTCAGAAGTTTAGTGTGTGTGTGTATATATATATATATATATATATATATATATATAATCATTGGTAAATGTTTTAATTTTAACATGCATAATATAATTTATAACAAATACATTTAATATCGACAAACAAAACATGAAGTACACTTGTTCAGAATTAAGGCAGTAACATTGATAGACTCATTGGTCCTTTACCTTTAAAAAAATAGCTACTGTTTCAGTTTTTGAAGATCTCATTCAGCAAGAACAGTGTATAAGGCAATAATATAACAGCTCAAAACAGAGTCGCAAGCAGCAGAAAGACCCAGTGACAGCTGTAGAAATACAGTGAGAATGTGAAAACTTAAACTTTTAGGACTGAAATGTCATTTGAGTCAATGTGTTTTGTCTTAAGTCAAGACAGAAGAGAATGAGAGAGCTTGCTTTTTTTCCCTTCTACAGTAATATACAATTAAACAGCCTATAGGCAGTATACTTATTGATAGTACAATTAATAGAATGAATAACCAGTTCAATGATGTCTCCACACTGTCTGATCCAGTTTCATCTTCTGGGTTTTCATGGTCAGTGGATTTACTTTCTTTTCCTGCTGTTGATTCTGCAACAAAAAATTACCTCACTGTGATAAAGGCTAAGAGTAAGAGATTCATCTATAACTAGTGAACTTGAACTTTTTTTATTTTTATTAAAAACTTCATGGTAGCAATTTAGAATAATGGTCTGTCATTAATAGGAAACTATGCTGGAAGTAATGCAAGACTAATGAGTAGTTCTACATTAACACTTCAGATACTGCTGTAAACTAATAAACAAGCTTAACTAATCAGTAAGTAATAGAAAATTTAAGACTGATGAACTTATTTATTAGGTATTCAATAATTACTGAATGAGATTAGCCTCAATATCAACTAACCATGACAATCTATAAAGAATTACCAATTAATTACTAATCACAACATTATTGTGTGTCTAAGACTAAATAAATTGTCTTTTTTACTCTGAATATAGTCTGAATAAATGCATCTTAGTCAACTTTTACCTTGTGACTGTACGAACAGTGATCTGGACCATTATTTTTAAGTGAAAATTACTATTTTATGACTATATTCAGAGTAAAAAAGGCAATTACTTATGAATTAGGCTGTGTACACCTGGTATTTAAGGGATAGTTCACTCAAAAATGAAAATTATCCCATGATTTACTCACCCACAAGTCATTCTTGGTGTATAAGACATTCTTCTTTCAGACGAATACAATCGGATTTATATTAAAAATGTCCTGGCTCTTCCAAGCTTTATAATGGCAGTGAATGGCGGTTTCTGTTTTGAAGTCCATAAAAGTGCATCTATCCATGATAAAAGTGCTCCACACGGCTTCGTTAATAAAGGCCTTCTGAAGCGAAGCGATGAGTTTGAGTAAGAATTTTTTTTACAAAGTAAAAATTTTAGCTTCCGGCCAAATGAACATACGCAATCTACTTACGCCAAAAGCGCAACTTATGACGTCAGAAGTAGCGTAAATATCAGCAGTACGTCGCATTACTCGCATTAGTTGCACTTTCGACTTAAGTGGAATCTGAATGTTCGTTAGGCCGGAAGCTAGTTATTTTAGTTGATAAAGTTTTAAATAAGGATATTTTTCTTACATAAACTCATGCTTTATTAACCACCCCAGAGCCGTGTGGAGCATTTTATCATGGATGGATGCACTTTTATGGACTTCAAAACAGAAATGGTAATTCACTGCCATTATAAAGCTTGGAAGAGCCAGGATTTTAATATAACTCTGATTGTATTTGCCTGAAAGAAGAATGTTATATACACCTAGGATGGCTTGAGGGTGAGTAAATCATGGGCTAATTTTAATTTTTGGGTGAACTATCCCTTTAAAGGGGTCATATAATGGTACATGCACTTTTTCAAGTTGATTGTACTGAAATGTGTGTTGGCAGTGCCTGTACACAACCATCATATAATGATAAAAATCCATCCAGTGTTTTTGTTTTAATCTCATTAAATGTTTTCCCCTGCCTCAAATCGAGCCGTTCGACCGTGTGACGTCACACGGTCGGACGCCCCTCCCGCGATTGTTGATTGACAGGTGCCTTTTAACACAGACCCGCCCTCGCTCGTGAGGGAGCTGTCAATCATAGTCTGCGCGGACCGGCGCGGTCATTGTTGATATGCTGGAGCACTGTCTATGAGCAGAATGGCGTCTAAGCGATTGTGGTGTTCTGTTCTTGGGTGCAATAAGGAACCCAGCAGTCATTTTGATGTTCCTAAATCCGAACCGCTGAAGACACAGTGGCTGAGTTTTGTTTTCAAAGGGAATATTCCCCACGAGCAACGTCAATGCTTTCATGTTTGTGCGAATCATTTCTCAGCAGACTGCTTTATAAACGAGGATCAGTATAAAGCTGGTTTTGCTAAGCAGCTGCTCCTGAATAAAGGATCAGTACCAGATATTCGTGTTCCTGCTGAACCTTCAGAACAACTGAAGTGAGTGTAACGTTTTATTAAACTTTATATTAATATTTATATCTTTGCAAATCGCTTCACGATGAATGAGTCTAAGGTTTACACTCAGTCAGGGTACATTACTGCATGTTTTCTATGTACGACGTTCTCCATATAATTCATAATCCCACGTTTATAATGAACAATGCATTATGGTTATTGTGTTACAAACATGTACACAGAACAGAGAGGCGGAGTCAGCAAAGCTCATGATCATTTAGTCATATGCACTGAAACGGCGTGCTGAAAACAGAGCTGTTTTTGACCAGGTAAAATAAGTGTTTTCTTACAATACTAATGAGAATTTTTAATTAAAGTATATTACAAACTTTTAATTTAGACCCTAAAGAATCATATTAGCTTGTACAAAAATGGCATTATATGACCCCTTTAAGATGTGTTTTGGTAGATCAGATCACAAGTAGATGAGGGAGACACATTCCCGTTTACACCTGCTGTTTTAATACGTCTCTTCTAAATAAATGTATGGGTAAATGTATGGGCTTTTTCAGATCTTTCGACCTACTGGACGAAATAAGTGTGCGCAATTTACATATGAACGGTAAAACATATAGAGAGCAGCAGTTTTAGTTTCTGCCCTGACAACCACAAGACCAGCCAAACGCTGCGAGTGTGTGTTAGAAATCAGGAATGTTGAGAGAACATTGTGTTTGGTACGTTTTCATCTTCAAACCAAACTTGGGTCTTCAGACAACAAAGTTTAAAGTCCCCCTGTGGTGAAAATCAAGTTTTTAATGTTGTTTATATGTCTATGTGGTGTTTTTAATATGCTTTAAGACAAACCATGTTCAAATTAATGAGTCATCAGCATTGCTGAGTATTTTCTCTTTAAAACTGCAGTGAACCAAAGCCAGTCTTAAAAACGCGGTTTGAAATCGGTGGTTTCTGATGTCACAAAGTACCTTGTAACCAATCAGGTCAATGTACCGCCGGGCTTTAGCATATCATTCATTACCTGCTGTGAATCAGGAGAGCCTCAAGAGAAGCCAGGTTATCCTGGTGTATTGCTAAATGTACCAGAGTTTTCATATCAACAGTACAGTATGAATTGTGTATATGTATATTACGATGTTATGATAAACTATATATAGAGGTCCTTCTAAAAAAAATAGCATATTGTGATAAAGTTAATTATTTTCCATAATGTAATGATAAAAATTAAACTTTCATATATTTTAGATTCATTGCACACCAACTGAAATATATCAGGTCTTTTATTGTTTTAATACTGATGATTTTGGCATACAGCTCATGAAACCCAAAATTCCTATCTCAAAAAGTTAGCATATCATGAAAAGGGTCTCTAAACGAGCTATTAACCTAATCATCTGAATCAACTAATTAACTCTAAACACCTGCAAAAGATTCCTGAGGCTTTTGAAAACTCCCAGCCTGTTTCATTACTCAAAACCACAATCATGGATAAGACTGCCGACCTGACTGCTGTCCAGAAGGCCATCATTGACACCCTCAAGCAAGAGGGTAAGACAGAAAGAAATTTCTGAACAAATAGGCTGTTCCCAGAGTGCTGTATCAAGGCACCTCAGTGGGAAGTCTGTGGGAAGGAAAAAGTGTGGCAAAAAACGCTGCACAACGAGAAGAGGTGACCGGACCCTGAGGATGATTGTGGAGAAGGACCGATTCCAGACCTTGGGGGACCTGCGGAAGCAGTGGACTGAGTCTGGAGTAGAAACATCCAGAGCCACCGTGCACAGGCGTGTGCAGGAAATGGGCTACAGGTGCCACATTCCCCAGGTCAAGCCACTTTTGAACCAGAAACAGCGGCAGAAGTGCCTGACCTGGGCTACAGAGAAGCAGCACTGGACTGTTGCTCAGTGGTCCAAAGTACTTTTTTCGGATGAAAGCAAATTTTGCATGTCATTCGGAAATCAAGGTGCCAGAGTCTGGAGGAAGACTGGGGAGAAGGAAATGCCAAAATGCCTGAAGTCCAGTGTCAAGTACCCACAGCCAGTGATGGTCTGGGGTGCCATGTCAGCTGCTGGTGTTGTTGCACTGTGTTTTTTCAAGGGCAGGGTCAATGCAGCTAGCTATCAGGAGATTTTGGAGCACTTCATGCTTCCATCTGCTGAAAAGCTTTATGGAGATGAAGATTTCATTTTTCAGCACGCACAGTGCCAAAACCACTGGTAAATGGTTTACTGACCATGGTATTACTGTGCTCAATTGACCTGCCAACTCTCCTGACCTGAACCCCATAGAGAATCTGTGGGATATTGTGAAGAGAAAGTTGAGAGACGCAAGACCCAACACTCTGGGTGAGCTTAAGGCCGCTATCGAAGCATCCTGGGCCTCCATAACACCTCAGCAGTGCCACATGCTGATTGCCTCCATGCCACGCCGCATTGAAGCAGTCATTTCTGCAAAATGATTCCCGACCAAGTATTGAGTGCATAACTGAACATAATTATTTGAAGGTTGACTTTTTTTTGTATTAAAAACACTTATTTTATTGGTCGGATGAAATATGCAAATTTTTTGAGATAGGAATTTTGGGTTTTCATGAGCTGTATGCCAAAATCATCAGTATTAAAACAATAAAAGACCTGAAATATTTCAGTTGGTGTGCAATGAATCTAAAATATATGAAAGTTTAATTTTTATCATTACATTATGGAAAATAATTAACTTCATCACAATATGCTAATTTTTTTAGAAGGACCTGTATGCCTTACTCCACTGACGTTCTAAGTACGTTCTAAGTCATTTCCTTCTCTGTACGGCCGTGATATTTCACGTAGTGATATTGCGCAAAGCTTCTAGGTTGCACGTCACACGTAGGCTCACTATTGGCCGACGCTGGTCATGTGTGTGATGCGTGATGTACAACCTAGAAGCTTTGCGTAGTTTCACTACGTGAAATATCACGGCCGTACAGAGAAGGAAATGATTAGTTGAATAAAGTTGTTATTTTTGTTTGTTTTTTTGCGCACAAAAAGTATTCTCGTCGCTTGATAAACTTAAGGTTGAGCCATTGTAGTCACTCGGACTATTTTAACAATGTCTTTCATAACTTTTGGGCCGGCCAGTTTCGATCCCTTAAGCCTATGGAGGAGTGATCCAGCTCTCAGATTTAATCAAAAATATCTCAATTTGTGTTCCGAAGATGAACGAAAGTCTTACGGGGTTGGAGCAACATGAGGGTGAGTAATTACTGACAGAATTTTCATTTTTGGGTGAACTAAAGGCCTCATTATGCTTCTGCGTCAACTCCACGGCGTAGCTACGCCGTCACTCCTACGGCGTTGTGGCCGTTTTATGGTTCTGCGTCATGTTGCGTTGCATCGCGGTGCATTTCACCGCCAGAACGCTAGGGGGTGTGTGCTTCGCGAATCTCTTTGCTAGTTTGTTTTGGTTCCGTGCGCCGGTTCCGCTTTCGTTTCCATTACCCTTCAGATTGCGCAAATTGAAATTGCGAATTGAAAATACGCACAATGGAACCACGTCCATTTCACAAAAACTACAGTTTATCGCAAAAAAGATTTTACGCTCGCATGAGGAGGTTTTTCAGGCAATTCGAAAAAGGAATATTTTGCAAAACTGCAATGGAAACAGGTTTTGCGCATTTACAGTCACCTGACTTAGAAGCACTGATGGGCAGTAACGCGTTAGAAGTAACGCGTTACTGTAATCCAATTACTTTTTTCAAGTAACGAGTAAAGTAAGGGATTACAATTGGAAAAACAGTAATTAGATTACTGTTACTTCCCCGTAAGCAGGCTGCGTTACTGCGTTAGTTAACCGTCATTGTGTTTCGTGAGACTGTCTCGTGCCATGAGTCGTGCGTGAGTGACAATGATGTATGAGCGCCGCGACGTCAGTGGTAAACACCGAAATGTGTAGTGTTGAACAAGAGACAACATGGAGCGCGGGAGAGAGACACGCATTTGATTGATCTCACGCGCCACACCCCCGATTTCTCACGCTGAAGTGTCAACCCGGTCGGTCAAATGCCTGAAAGATGAGTTTATCTATAGATCTACCTTTTGAGCCACTCGTGATCAACTAGTTATACCGCAAATTAGTTTAAATCTCCCAGAATCTAGAGCGAGCGTGCATGCGAGACAGAGACCGCGTAGCGCACGCGCACCCGCAGAGAGGGAGAGCATCAGAGCTAGCGAGAGCGAGACCTTGCGTGTGTAGAGAGCATCCTGATTTAGAAACAGGACCCCCATTGGAGAATGTCAAAATTCCACCTCAAATCTGAGCAAGCACCTAGCAAGAAGAAGGAGTTTCTTTATTTCATTAAAATATGGTGGAATGTGCAGAAAATAGGTTTAAATGTTCATCAAAAGTCTGAGACTGTTGCATTTAATTTAATTTTTGCTTGATGCAATGTGCATAAAGTTAAAATATTGAAACTAATAAAACAAGTTTAAAAAAGAGAGTGTTTCATTTGATAAAATTTTAGATGATGGAATATGCAGAAAGAATAGAATTAGGCTGAAAGGTCTATTGCTTTATAGCGTATTCAGGTCGTGCATCATGTTTTTGAAAAGTAACTTAGTAAAGTAACTAGTAAAGTAACTAATTACTTTTGAAAATAAGTAATCATTAAAGTTACTGGATTACTTTCTTGGAGAAGTAATCAGTAACTAATTACTATTTCCAAGTAACTTGACCAACACTGCTTAGAAGACGCGGTGTGTTTGGGGTCCGTGTCCGCAAATAATAATAATAATTATCATCATTATTATAACATTTATTAGGCTACATATGGACAATAATAATACGGGGCTAAGATTATCACAAATAAACACAAGATTTTGACGCATACCCAAGTGTTTGTGCGGAGCCCGCACTGGATGGCAGGGATAGGCGCGCTGGCGCGAACACTTGCATTTTCCTATCAACAGTGGAAACAACTTAAAATACTCTATCATTTCTGGTCATACAGAAAATAATAATACATTATTCGCAACTACTTTTATTTGTGTAAACTCACAATAACAAGAAAACGTTGTGATTTTGTAAAATAAAATAAAACAATCAGGTGCGCTTTTATGATCTCCGTGAACTGAAGCGCGAGAACTGAAACAAAATATAGCCTATGTAGGCTAAAGCTTGAAATGTCCACTTTAAAACGAACAAATTCCAATCGAAAGCTAATACCTTCTGATTATGTAATCCGTATGAAAAGTGCATTTCTCTCTAAAGGTGCATCCGGAGATGGAGATATGTTTTTAGCCGACATTGATTTAGAAAACAATTGTTTATTAATAAACAATTAAAATGCCTTGTTATTTTTTCAGACACATTTATTATAGCCTATAACTCACCTATAAATCACCTGTCTGTAGGCTGTGGTTATGGTCTTCTCATTCAGCACTGCGAGAAAAATTTAATATCCAGGTTCTAATTTGGCCTTAGAAAACCAGTAAAATCTAATCTACATTTTTTCCATATTAATTTGTAAATATTTTAAATGTTTAATAAAGGGGCAAAAAATCATAAACAAATATCTTAAAATTCGTCTATTTTTTTTTTTTTTTTTGCAGCATTTGGTGTACAGTTCAAATTAAAATTTTGGTGTTCAACTTTGCGTTTTAAAAATACAACAACCGTTCATTTTTCGTTTTGCAATTACGGGGTAAACGGGATAAATAAGGGAAAACGACTGGACACAAAAGTACACTGACCGTTTGGAATTAATACGAGACAGTTCTTTATTAAATTCATAAAAGAAACAATAATTACAGGAATAGCCTACTGGACTCTAAACCTCAAAGAAATGCCACAATCAAGACCTCGGAGCAGAAATTAGGGAGAACTCCGTGTCTTTCCCTGCCATCAATGCTTGGATAACACACCACGTCTCCTTCCATTAATAATAATAATGTCTAGTGCGGTGGCTATAGGCTATAATGTTAAACCTACCAACGTCCGTTACCATGATTTTTGGAATGGCTTATCACGAGAGGAAAAAAAGACGTTTTAGTCGCATAACATCGGTTAATGGAAACGCCGTCATTTCGCAATAGTTTTTTATCGACATATAGAAAAAAATCGCAAAAGTTTTGCGCAAATCTGTAATGGAAACACGCCTAATGGCGAGCGAAAGAGAGAGAATGTTGTTGCAGCTGGAGCTAATCGACGTTGAACAACAAGTGATTTTATTGCAAATGTTTAATCGCAGAAGAATCAAACGTTCCTCAACTTGATATCGTTAAAACAAACAGTGCATTGGTCACTTTAAAAATGGTGGTATAGCAGGAGGGGGAAACCGGAAAAGCTTCACTCCTGAAATGATGTATCTGACCAATCACAACTCTTGTGGTCTGCGTCGCCTCGACGCGTAGTTACATTTTTTGCACGTCGAGCTACGGCGGAGGGGTCGGAGAGGGGTTCGCCGCGACGCAGAGAGGTCTGTGGAGGTACGCCGTCGATTCGACGCAGAAGCATAAAACAGGCTTAACCCTTTAAGGGATTCAATTATTGTCTACAGGGGGACTCTAAGTCTGTCTAGTGCGCTTCACATAATGTTACTTATTAGGTCAGTAGGGGGAGAGCAATCTTTAAGGGGGCTTTCACACTGGCAGTTTAGTTCGGAACGGGGCACCGTTCGCATGAAAAATGGCTAATGTGTACACTGTCATGCGGAGCCGGGTGCGCACTGGGGTACCGAACCGAGACTACCTGGAGGAGGTGGTCTGAGTTCGGTTGCTCCCGAACCGTGCGGCGGTTGGCGTGAATGTGAAAGCAGCACGGACTCGGGTGCGCACTTGTTCAGGAAGTAAAGTGACCTGCGCATGCGTTTTAGCTTATTGTGATGTATTCAGTTAAATAAAACACTTGTAAGGGATGATAGTGTTGATGATTTACCTTGGATACGAGCGAGAGTGAGCCTGCAGTGTATTCATGCATTGCGGGTGGAATCAGGGCAACAAATTTGGAAATCCTCTGTCTCCTCAAAAGCGTCCGTTTGCAAGCAGCAGAAGACCACCTTATGTGACACACACACAGTAAACCTGTATTGTTCACTCAACTGCGCATAATAGCAGCGAATTAATTAAAAAACACAATATTGACCCGCGTTCTGTTTTCTATCATGCGCCGTGCACGTTTGCGATGACGTTTGCGATATTCACCCAAACGCACCAGGGTTCGATAGAATCAAGTTGAGTGTGAAACCAGACCAAAGGCTGTGGGGGGCGCCGGGATCAAACATGCTCGGGCTCGGACCGCAGCAAACGAGCCCAGTGTAAAAGCCCCCTAAGTAATTCTTTATAGTTCGTCATTGATAGTTGATAATTATTATTGAGGATCATTTCATTCAGTAATTATTTATTACCTAATAAAGAAGTATCTCAGTCTTAAATTTGCTATTACTTACTGATAAGTTAAGCTTGTTTCTATATTAGTTTATAGTAGTATCTGAAGAGTTAATGTAGAACTACTCATTAGTCTTGCAACTCCTGCATAGTTACATAGTAATGACAGACCATTATTCTAAAGTGTTACCAACTTCATCCATGAATCAAACATGTTTACACACCGTTGATGATCAGCAGTACTGTCTGAAGCTCAGATGAGTGTGTGATGATGCAGGTGTATTTTCCTGCATCAGTGTGAGTGAGATTGTTGAGTTTGATGGAGAAGTTTCCTCTCTCATACACATCAGGCAATCTTTCAGCTCTGTTCTTGTAAAGAGGGTGCTGTAACTGTAGTGAATCTTCACCCTTGACTATATCATACACAAGCTTGCTGCCATTGTGTCTCCAATGCACATCAGTGTCTTGAGGTTTCAGATCATGTTCAGTGGAAGAACACGGCAGGAGAACAGAACCGCCAATAACAGCCTTTACTGTGACCTGCAGAGACACTGAAATGACAAAAACTTTCAAACACACAGTCTGTGGCATGAATTTATCTTTCTGATGTGTCGTTCAGATGCTCACCTTTGTTTATCAGCACCGCAAACACACAGATGAAACAGCAACTGCAAAAACAGAAAAAACAAGTTCCTTTAACTTCTTTAATCTCAGCCAGTACAGCATGATATTAGCAACAGGCTTGTTTAAAATGAGCAAGTTCAGCACAGAACCAATTCTACACTTTTTTTGGGGGTGAGGGCGCGACATCCTGTCAGTTTACATGGGATCGACCAATAGGAAAACCTAACAATCCTCTTATCTATTTGCCATGGTCAAAATCAAGTCCCGCCCTACTTGTTTTCTTGTTCTAGAAGCTATTTTACTCGGCTATAGTATGTCACAATAAGGAAGGAAAGTCTATCGCAACTTCCGTTTCATGCCCATTTTTTAAAAAAAAGACCAACTAAACAAAAATGTCCCAAATTCGAGGGAACACGTCATTTAAAATAATTTTAGGTTTAAATTACTATGGAGAACATACATATTGTAAAAAGTTAAACTTAAAACAGACTGCTATTACTTTGTTTTACTAGAAGTAACAAGACAAATCTAAGCGTACGCAATGTGATAAAAGTCTTGTCGTTCATTCTAATCAGAGTTTTTGTACTAACACAATAACTGACCATAAACACCATAAGCAGTGAGCTAGTACACTACATTTTGTGAATTGCTTGGTTTTCATTTCTGTGACTTCACAGGGAGCCGCATCCACAATAAAATCTCATTGGACAAAAGTACCGCCTTTCATGTATTTTAAATATAAATCATGAACAAGGAGAGACTGTTTGTGTAATTTTATAATTAGATAAGATATAGTGTAATTTAGATGAATCTCTCTCTAACTGAGATTCAGGTTAAAGTTGATACGGAAGTTGCGATAGTCTTTTCTTCCCTGTTATGCATATTAGAGTAAAACAGCTTCTTGAACAAGATTTTTTTTTTAGCGGGGGACTTGATTTTGTTTGGCTTGGTTGTCCCGCCCTCACGCCATTAAACACGTCATCGGAGAAGAGACGTCGCTGCAAGAGAGAGAAGTTATTTTGATTTAAGATAATGAGACTCATGAATAAAATAAATAAATAATGATGTGCATAGCTAAATTATATATATATATATATATATATATATATATATATATATATATATTAATTAAAAAGAATGCAAATTCCATAAAAAATAAGAATTGTCAAAATCAAATTGATTTCATGGTGACTTCATGTGAATTGAGGTCACTGTTCAACTAAACTGTCAAAATGCATCTCAATTTACAACTAAATAAGTATATGTTTCCATGTATTTCACTTAGTATTTTATGTTGGAGGTTGCATCTTCATCATGTAAATGTTGAACTCGTCCCTAAATATGATTTAGCAAATATTCTTAAGGGAGCATCTTTACCCATATTACCCTACTGGTGAAAACCTGAATATCTTGAATGTACTGTAATATCAGGTTAATGAAATGACCTTCAAATAAAGCATCGGGACACAAAAGATTGAAATTCAAAATACTAACTGTTAATGCTAAGTTAGTGCTATGACTGCGGGCTACGGCAAAGTAATATTTGCAGACATTTCCCTGCAGATAAACCCGTTAAACATTAAATAATCAATCCATGTTTAATGTATTAATAACGTACAAAAGGTTTTTCTTATTGGTTATATCTTAAATAAAGCAAATGAGGAACAAAACAAACCAGGCCAAATGTAAATACGAGCGCATCTACATCAAGACTTCTTTTAGGAATTGCGGCATTTCCGGGACACAATGCATTTTGTAAAAATAGAATTTCATTAAAAAAATTGTAAACATACCCGATGACCATGGTGCCACGGTATAATTCATATATTAATATTTCTGAAATACTACTCTTTTCGACAACAGATCTGTGAAATCGAGACCACGATCGAACTCTTCTTCACTATGTAAGTTTACGTCCGGGTTACAAACTAAAATGAATAGTGACCCCTGCTGTGCTGGAGTGTTGCGAACATGGTTGCGAAGATGTCAAATTAAAAAAAAAGGGGGGAAAAAAGAAAGATTTTTGTTCTGTGAAGTGGGCTGCTTTTGCGTCCTTTTTTTTTTAACAATGGCGAGACAAATATGTGCAATGTTGAATACCAAAATTTAGGCTAATTTTAAACCGTACACACAAATTGCATGCGCACAAAATAAAATAATGATTTATTTTAGATGTGTGTTTATTACGTAAAAAGGAAAGATGTAAAGAAAAAAATGTCAATGTAAATTAGAAATAATGTTTCTTCCGCACTTTCGAAAGCGATGACTTTGGAACTATAATACATGCATTGATTTTAAAACTGAAATGGGCATTGCAGAACGCCTAGCTGTTCCAAATGGTTGTTCCATCTTTAAAGTCTACCCATCTCACTCGGGTCACTACACTGTCAGAAAAAGGGTCCAGTGACGTGGCCAGTAGCACATTGAGAAAGCTGTCAAACCTCCACTGAGGCAAAGGGCAAGGGAATATTCCTTTGTCAATTTTTTCATCATGACATATGTTGAGTTAACTATCAACAGTTACCAAGCTCATGAATCAGTAGGATATTGTGTACACGAATCCAGGCACTGGTAAGGACTGAAAAAATACATTCTATATAGTATGAATGTGTGTAGTAATCCGGACGTACAACATTCGCCGTGTTGTCATTATCATGTGATCTACCAGCGTTAGCGTCGCTTCACTGCCATTCACAAATCCTCTCCTGTGGCCTCATGGGACAGTAAAGTGTCCATCAAAAGCACACTTCCGAATCTCGTAGAACCTATTGCGTGCATAATTTTTATTGAGTTGGCTTGTGCATTTTATTTTTTTGAGCTTCAGGAATGTGATGTAATTTCTGGTAAGTGAGCATCAGTGCTCCCTGGTTATTGCGGTACATTATGATATTTTTTAGGGAGTGAACGTTCCAGTTTACTGGAAGGATTTTGCGATAGAGACCGCCCTTAAAATGACCGACTCCCTCATCAGTGCCCTGACTACTGAACTAGGGAGCCGATAGAGACGCACCCTTAGTTTTGTCATGGCCACGACTATTAACTCATGGGTACATGATAATAGGTTGTGGGCAAGAGAATGACAAGATAATTATTTCGAGGTAACAAAATCTTTATGACATGGCCACACAATATAAGCTAGTCGTGGCCTTGAGATCCTATGCTGAAGGAACAACATCCTTTTCTAGTGGACACAACTTCTTATGATAAGGAAATTACATCAGTTTCTCGTTGCCACAAGTTTAATGTGTTAAAAAATCTGTGTAACCATCAACCTGGGATTATCAGGAAAGCAGTTTTTTTTTCACTTTGAAACACACACACAAGCATTTAATACACTTGACAAATGTTTTTCCTTCTCTCCTGAACCGTAATGCATGTACTGCCTCCACCATCTCTGGCAAACAGAGAGCCCGGTATTTTTTGATGTGGTTCAACAGGCCTCCTCTTCTTTGTTTGAATGCTCATTTCATCATGGACATCTTGTGAACCTGCTGTTGACCTCGACCATCCTCTGCTTGAGCATTATTTAACTATAGCAGCAGCTTAAAGTCAAAATACTGCAGTTTCTCCTTCTCTGGTCTCCCAGAGATCTGTTTGTCTGAACTGTATTCACTGTTTTTGGCAGCAGGTCAAAGAAATGTAGGACCGAATGGATGGTTCATTTTCTTGTGCGGCTTGACATCGGGTACAAGCTGATCAAGTCAAATCCACCTGTGTTTTTGTTGTAGCTCAGCCAGAACAAGAAGTCCAAGCACAGGAACATGCACTTCTCTTTCACTGACCATCTCAGGATTTATCCCATGGTCATTGTCCAGCCACTTTGTCACTGCAACTTCTGATGTTTTCTGACAACCATTTCAGATTCATCTATTCCTTGTTTTTGACGGTGTTATATAACATCTTTGACTTTCACAATTCAGGGAGTCTATTTTTCATTATGGTCCCTGTTCCCAGGAAACCAGTTGCTTTAATCTGACATTTCCATGGTTAGAAGTAAATAAATAGATGAAGTAAAATTCTACAGTGGTGAAAGGAGAGATAAAGCATTTTTTTTCTGCTCCAACAGCAAAAGAAAAAAAAATCCACTATTATGTTTCCAGGATTTTCCAAATAGAAGATAAAAATATATACAGATGGATAGATTATGGCGGTCAAAAAAAAAAAAGATGTCAAGTTTACTGTCACTCCCTCAGCCGCTGTTTTAAAATCCGAAGATCAGAAATTGGCTGTTAAGTGATGATGTAAACGCTGCAGGCTCAAGAACACTGATCTGATATAATACACACGGTGCCTTCATTAGGTACACCTTGTTAGAACTGTGTTGTACCTACTTTTGGCTTCAAAACTGCCTTAATTCTTCCTGGCATAGATTCAACAAGGCACTTGAAACATTCCTCAGAGATTTTGGTCCATATTGACATGATAGAATCGCACATTTGCTACAGATTTGTCGGCTGCACATTCATGATGTGAATCTCCCGTACCAGTACATCCCAAAGCTGCTCTATTGGATTCTGGTGACTGTGGAGGCCATTTGAGTTTAGTGAACTCATTGTCATGTTCAAGAAACTAGTTTGAGATTAATTGAGCTTTGCGACATGTGCTTTATCCTGCTGGAAGTAGCCATCAGAAGATGTTACTGTCATAAAGGGATGGACATGGTCAGCAACAATACTCAGATAGTCAGGTTGTAAACTCCAAAAGATGCTCTGTTGGTGGGGCCCAAAGTGTGCCAAGATTATATCCCTCACACCATTACACCAGCAGCAGCCGGAACCAATGATATGCAGGATAGATCCATGTTTCATGTGTTTTACACCAAATACACCTACAATCTAAATTTAGGCTTTTGTTCAAATGAAAATATTGATTAGCAAACGTACACAGAGCACTTAAATATAGTAAACAGAAGTTCAAGCATACTTTAGGGCTTTTAATCAAAGTCGGTATGGAATGGAAGATATATTGTGACATATAATTGAGTGAAGCTTCTCAAATGAGAATGAAAAATGAGAGAAATAAAGAACTTGATTTTGACCATCAGGAATTGATTGCATGGTTTGCTATTACTGTGATCTCATTTGATTGACAGGTTGTCCCGCCCAGTGTTGCCAACTTAGCGCCTTTGTCGCTATTTTTAGCGACTTTTCAGACCCCTTTAGCGACATTTTTTCAAAAAAGCGACTAGCGACAATTTTAGCGACTTTTGGACAAACCTCAGTAACCTCCAAATGTTGCCACAGTACTGTCCTGCAATCGCGAGGTCTTGCTTTCTCCCTGTCGTCACTCTCTCTAGCTGCGTCTCCCCTGTTCAGTGAATGGCTGAGAGGAGCGCACGGCCGCTGACAGACACGAATGAGCAGTGTTTTTCCACGGACTTATCACTTATCGGCTTTTCTTTTGTTTTATATTTAAAGAATTTAGTTTGACCATTTTAATTTAATTTTTTTTCTTGTGCTTATTACTTGTAACACTCACTAGAGCTTAGTTCATCCGGTTCCCTAACTCTCTCAATTCAGATAATGTTCCACATAGGCCTATAAAAAATATAATCATTCACTAAATTACAGCTACTCGTTCAGTTGTCTGACAACAAAAAAATAGGAAATGATAACAGCTTTATTTGACATTCGGCTATATTATATTGAATAGAGCATTAATTTAGAGAGAAAACGCACTAGACTGACAGAACGCAAGTACGACGCAATGACGTCATTAATATGCTAATTGACGTATGACGTCATCTAGCGACATTTAGTGACTTTTAGGGAAGGCCTTAGCTACTTTCCTTTGAAAATAGTTGGCAACACTGGTCCCGCCCTTGCGTCAGTGAATGCGTCATCAGAGAAGAGATGTCGCTGCAAGAGGGATAGGAAGTTATTTTGGATTATATGGTAACTTTAACCAATTTCATAGTACAAAACAACATTTTTCCCCTGTATGCTTGTTGATCACCAGCACCTGTTCCTCACCTCCCTCATTAAAGGAACAAGCCGACTTTTTGGGACTTCAGCTTATTCACTGTATCCCCCAGAGTTAGATAAGTCCTTTTTCGTCTCCGTGAATGCTGTAATTCTGTCTGACGCACCCACCGCTAGCCTAGCTTAGCACAACGACTGGATGTAAATGGCTCCAGCTAGCATACTAATCCCAATAAGTGACAAAATAACGCCAACATTTTCCTATTTACATGTTGTGATTTGTAGATTTGTAAACAGCGTGTACAAATAACAAGGTATGAGACACAGCCATCTTTTAACCGTATAAATACTGGGAACTATATTCTCAGAAGGCGAAGCACTGCTACATGGGTGGAGTTTCTCAGGTGCTGCGGTAATCACTATGCCCAAGTAGCAGTGCTTCGCCTTCTGTATGCATTATGCTAGCTGGAGCCATCCAGTCTTTGTGCTAAGCTAGGCTAGCGGTGGGTGCGTCAGACAAAGTTATGGCATGCACGGAGATGAAAAAGTTATGTATGGACTTATCTAACTCTGGGGGATACGGTGAATAAGCTAAAGTCTAAAAAAGTCCATGTGTTCCTTTAAGAGTGTTACGATCTACTCCCAGTCTAGGGTTGGGAGAGGGTAACAAACTTAAATAAAAAAAAAAGAACGTAAACGTGGAGGGTTCCCTTCAGTCCTCTGCCCCAGAAATGTGAGCCAAAACACTTGATGCAAACGTAAAATGATTTATTGCATTTAAACAAAGAAAATGGAAGCTTTCAATCTTCAGGAGAAGGTCAGACCAAAACAACAAACAAAAGAGGAAGCTTACTATTGGAAGGAAAACTAAATGCCCTACACAGGTAAAGAAAATAAATAAACAACATATGCTTCCCTCCACTCCCTGACTAACCAAAAACAAGGATTAATATATAAAAAGAAAAAGGTGGTGACTTAATCT